CCAGTTTCTTTATCTATAGACGTCAGTAAAGCTTCTTTCTCATCGAGTCCATATCTTCTGATCCTTACAGAACATTCTCGTAGTTGCTTCCGCAGTTGAGATACAGGTTTGCGACGTCAGTTGCCTTATTCTATAGTTGTCAGTAAGTTTCTTTTATCATCGAGACCATATCTCTGATCCTTACAAAACATTCTGTAGTTGTTTCCGTAGTCGAGATTCAGTTGAGACGTCAGTTTCCTTATCTAAAACGTCAGTATAGTTTCTTTTCTCATCGAATCCGTTTCTCGGATCCTTACTGAGTGCACTAATTTCTTTCCACCTTGATAATCGTTTATAACAGAATTATTAAATCGTATGTGATTTTCTACATTTGTATTTAGTTTTAACGAGAAAAGTTTTCCGCTGCCACCGTGACAGCGGCAATGACAATGGCGGTTAATTTATTTTTCTGACGCTGGCAGCACGGACCTGTCTTCGGCCACAAGTGATACTTCGCTCAGTTTATGTGACATGTGACATGCATGTGACATGTCACTTTAAAATAAGTTAAAAAGTTTTTATATATTTTCCGTATAACACATACTTTATACGATATATAATATAATACGAAGCAAATAATATATACATATACACATTTATATATATATATATATACATTTTCAGAGCGGTGGAAAATTTAGTTTTCGGAGACTGCAAATGACAGGAAAAGTGTTGACACTCACACACATATATATAAATATGTGTGTGTGTGTGCGTGGGTGTGGGTTCCAGACGTTTTGACCAGTCAAATTTGACCCAAAATTAATTTAAATTAATTTTTATTAAAAGAAATTATAAATATCCCGAAGTGTGTTCGTAATTTGTTAATCCATGAACCAACAGTAAACGATAAAATACGAAATCATTCAAGCAAGTACAAAAGCCGCTTGGAAGATCACCCTAACTCACTAGAGTATAGCCAGAGAAGAGGAAGTTTATGTTAGTCTCTAACAATCTTGTTAAAATTACCTTCAATTGCCAGATAATTTTGTATTTTTACCCTTATTGTTACTAAAGTTTTATTATCTTTTTAGGATAGGTGTAAAAATTATTGTTTAACTAGTGATATATGGCATTCTGCCTTAAAGTAAATTGCTGGAACTTCCCGTACCAAAAATTAAAATTTTCAAAGAGCTGTAGTAGAATTTATTGAAAACTGAAAAAATAAAATTTGTACAAAAAAATATTTTGAAAAATTGCATTTTTATATATTTTTGATCTTTATTCAAAGAAAATAAGATTTTTGAAAATTTTGAAATTTTGGAAAATGACTCTTTTGAAAAATTAGATTTTTTATATACTTCGAATTTTTTTGAAAATTTGAACTTTTTTTGAAAAATTTGATGTTTTCATATATTTAAATTTTCTGAAAATTTCGTACTTTTTTCAAAGCAAATAAGATTTTGAATTTTTGAAATAGTTGAAATTTTTGAAGAAAATGACTTTTATCAAAAATTTGATTTTTTTTATATTATGAAATTTTGAATTTTTTTTAAAGCAAATGAGATTTTTGAAAATTTTCAATTTTTTAAGAAAATGATTGTATCGAAAAACTTGATGTTTTTATATATTAAAATTTTCTGAAAATTTTGTACATTTTTCAAAGCAAATAAGATTTTTAAATAATTGAAATTTTGAAGAAAATTACTTTTTTGAAAAAATTGATTATTTTTTTATATTTCAAAATTTTTTGAAAACTTTTGAACTTTTTTTAAAGCAAATGAGATTTTTGAAATTTTTTAAATTATTGAAGAAAATGACTTTTTTGAAGAATTGATTTTTTTATAGGTATTATGAAAATTTTGAACTTTTTTCAAAGTAAATTGTTCGTGGTTGTTTTAGAGAAGAAATATTGAAGCGCGTAAGCGCCGCGTCGCAGACTTACGAATAAACATTGGTACGGAACTACAAATGTAAACAAAATTTATACTTATTATTAAAATCTCTATAAAGTATCTGATAATTTGATGTGCTTATGTCTAATGATCATTTTTGTCCGCCAAATTGCATTTATTCTCTTTTTTTACTAGATCTCCGAAACCACTAGAGCTACCTTCCTAAAAACTTACTTAGTTCATCATTTTGTCAATACAAATAAAATGTTTTTTGAATTATTGAAATCGGCGTCTCGTTCTCTCAAAAAACTGAAATATCATTTTGGCCCTTTTTGCCCCGTATATTCAAAACGGCTGGACCTGCCTTGTCCAGAAACTAATCAGCACGTCTCCTTATCAATAGAAATCGAATGTTTTAGTCAAATCGGTTGAACCGTGTTCCCGAAATCGACGACGAAAATTTGTATTCGCACATACACACACATACATTCATTATTTCTAAGGTATGCCAAAATGTTCAGAAACCTTTGAAACGTAAAGAAATATAAAAATACATTACATTTTCAATGTTTTTTGCGATTACTATAACTTACACTACGGGAAGTTAAAAATTATTATAATAATTCATAAAGTTGATTAGTCCGAGGGTCAGAGTCAGTTAGATAACTAACTGGTTGTAAGTGGATTTTGTCTTAATAGACTTGATGAAAAAGAATTGATATTGAATTTAGAATTTAGATAAAAAAATTAAATTGGGAGTATCAACTGTCAAAAAGTTTTGTATTTGCTGTGCGATCAGGCGTTACACATTAAAAGTCAAATTATAATTTTATTTTAAGTGAATATTTCTGATGTCTACATGATAAATGTAAGTCTCCTTGATAAAACTTATGTGAAGTTTAATTTTATATGTAAAACTCGTGATTGCATCATATGTAGAAATCATTTGGGAAGTTAAAAATTGTGTAGTCCGAATGCCAGAGACATAATATTATTGCAAAAATTAACATTGTAACATTGTAATACTCATTGAATTATACATATTATAACCATATTGAATATTATATAAATAGATAGTCCCAAAGTCAAAGATACGATTCCTGTTGAATATTCATATTATTAGTAGCGCCATCTAGTATGATTACTGTGTTTTAAGCGAATATTTTTATGTTCTATATATATATTGGTACCAATGTTGAAATATCTTATGTTATATTTTATATCCGTTTTAGGAATTTTTCTGATTTATTCTGATTGTTTTAGCAAATAAATTGTGCAAATAAAGAAGTAATTTTGATAGTAAATACGTGTTTCCTTTTCTAAGTGTTTAATATTTCATAAACTTTTTACAGTACGTATAGTGATAATATTGAATTACATACTTTTCCAAACTTTAAATATTCAATGATCTTATAATCTTTTTTCCATTTCAGAAAACGAGTTGCCCCTCTACATCGGTTTGGGGCTCGTGGGCCTGGTATGCGTCCTTTTGGCGGGGCGCCCTAATAAGGGGGCTCAACCTGAACATGGCGAGTCTCAACGACAGGAGGATCAGGAGGATCAACAATATAGGTCAGTTGTAGTAGAATGTTATTGTTGGTACTTATGAATATGCTTTGGATTGGTCTAAGTTGCTATATTCATAGTGGAAATAATAAATGTATGGCATCGCGCCTTAAGGTAAATTGTTGGAACTTCCCGTATCGTGATGAAATATTCGAGAAATATTAAATGTTTACAAATACATTATTATAAATACTGTAATTTATATATGTTTACTGAAAAGTAAATAAAAAAACATAAATTAATCAGTCGAATTTAAAATTAAGGACATTGCCTAATATTTATAAGAATTATATAAACTGAATTGCAAAGTTAAAATTATTTAGTTGAAGTATATAAATGAGCTTTAGAACTTTAGCTAGAATTAATTAAAATTCGAATAATTTTCGATATCAAAAAAAATTTTTTGAAAATAAAAAAAAAATCCCAAAAGCAATCGTTTCGTCAACACAAGCAGAAAGTGTTTTGAATCATTCAAATCTGGCTGGCTGGACCCGTCTTGCCCAAAAACTAATCACAACTTTTCCCCGTCATTCCGAATTGAATGTTTTTTGAATTATTCAAATCGGATGCTCCGTTCTCTCAAAAACTCGATTTGTATTTTCTGCACTCTTTGCACCATATCTCCATAACGGTTGGAACAGCCTTTGCCAAAAATGGATCAACACATTTCCCTATCAATATCAATCAATGTTTCTTTGAATAACTCAAATCTGTTCTGTGGTACTCCCGAAAGCGTCGCCAAAAAATTGTATCCGCACATACATACACATACGCGCACACACACATCCATCTTTTTGTTTATACGTTTCGACACTTGATGAGGGTCATTATTCAGTAATCACCAGGTTAAAATAATAAAACTTATACATCTTAACAAAATTAAATTTTTTAGTCACATTATTCAGTCGCATATCATGTCACACACATCATAATAATAAAGAAAATTATTTTTCTTAACTTATTTTTTTTCGACGAATGGGAGGTTGAAACATTTTTTGAAATATTTTCAACGTCGAAAAAACTATCAAGAATTATATATATATATATATATATATATATATATATGTATATATACATATATTTGATATGTATTATATGTATATACCTTCAGTTTTGTATATCGCAGCAGGCGTTTGGTATGTTAATATGAAGTTTATTAGTGTTTTATTACTATATGCATATAAATAGGATGCAAACGTGTATATGTATACATATATACATATATGTATATACAATATACATACATATATACGTGTGTGTATACATTTATGTTTGCATATAAACGTATAATGAACACCAAATGTTACATTTTATTGCCTCGTTTAAAGGATATTTTTAGACTAACTAACTTCAAAATGAATTTATATATATATATATATATATATATATATATATATATATTCATGAATGCAAAAAGACATACATCCATACATATACATATATTTATAGACTAATTACTTACAAGTTTAGTTTTCTTTGATATTTCTTGTCACTCTGTCACTTCACTACATATATATATATTATATATATATATATATATATATATATATATATACATATATGTTCATATATATACTAGATGACCCGACAGACGTTGCCCTGTACCCACGTCTACAATTCAAAAGTTCTATTTTTTTTTAATATCCTATCTTATACTTTTTAATATCCTGCCTTTGTGATTCATTTATGATTTTAGTATAAAAATAATATAATATCTGCGTAACAATATCACACTTAATTTTTCCACACAGCATAATTGCTTCAATAATTTAGTCTATAATTTTCATAATCTCGTACGATATATCAGTTGCTTTTTGGCAATTATAATTTTTAAAGTACATTTTTCTTACTAATAATTTAATAAACATTATTGATTATGTTTAAATCTTGGGTGAAAAAAATTGTAAAATCTAGTTCATATGTGCACTACTCAATCTAAGATCAACTTGCCAAATATTCCATATCCAATGCCAAACAAATGCATGTTTGACTCATGAAACAAAATTCTAAATCATTTTTTTAATAAGTAGAAATGTTTTTTGTATTGTTAAAAAAATTAGTAAAATTAACCAAAATGCGACATGCATAAGTTCAAAAAAATGTATATGCAATTTTGGACTTATGCGTCATTTATTAAACTGAATTATATAATTTCATCTGCCAACATATATTGTTGACTGTATCTTATATTATTTTAATTTCTGACTCATCTCAACTGCTTTTCGGTGATAATATTGTAGACATTACATTTTTCTGGTATATTTCATTCTAATATTATCAAGGCTCAAAATTTCTGCTAAATTCAAATGACAAACTCTAAAAAGAATTATCAAAATCCGAATAACCGTTTAGGAGAAGTATCAAATCATACACTCGTACAGAAGAATTTTATTTAAAATATTTGTGTGTATCATACAAATGAAAACAAATAAGTGAGTGCTCTTCTACTATGGACATGCCTACGTTCAGAGTATTAATTATTATTATAATTATGATCAGCTGACAAGTATTTTCTTTAAAAATTAAAAACGTGTTTGTTTCTCCTTCAACAGAAATATAAAGTTTATTTTCTCATGATCCATACTTCCCGATTCTTATAGAGCCATGCTCTTAACATTAATTGTGATACTACATACTTCTATAAAATCTAGATTCTTTATTACTCATTATTATTGTATCAGTTATTATTTGTAAGTTTAGATCGTTGTTGTATGGTTCCTTTTTGCACAAGCTATGCCATTGATTCGAATCTCAGTTTTCTAGACAGTATAATTTCTTTATTGTTTTTAGACTTTTAAATCAAGTCTGACCGTTAGTAGAGCTCTGTTCTTCTTTATCTAGTCTAGACTTAGTTTGTTAAGAGAATTTTTAGTATAATTTTATTGTACATTTCTATCTGTACTTTACACTCCACTTTTAGCTTGCTCGTCAGTAGTGTTCTCTTTTTGTCTTCTCAATCATATTTAATTATGCGTCTGTGGAGTCTTCTGAACATTTTGGCAAACCTTAGAAAAAATGTGCGTAGTTTGTATATATATATATATATATATATATATATATATATATATATATATTTACATATCATTTTTTGTCCAAGATTTTGAGCATGGATCAATCGATTTGAATAATCATTCTGTTCCTATTAATGGGAAGACGTGCTGATTAGTTTTTGGGAAAGGCATGACCAGCAGTTTCAGCGATTCAACAAAACAGTTTTAAAAATGCCATTTGAGGATAAAAAATGATTATTTTACATCTTTACAAATCTTCGCGAAAAAAGTTAAAGATTTTCGACAAAAAAAGTTTTTAAAACTTTTAAATTACGGCTCGAGAAGTTCCAGCAATTTGCCTTAAGGCACGATGCCATATACCATTACCTTGAATCTTAAATTTAAATCTTTAATTTGTTCTTCAGTAGAATCTTGTTATTCCTATAGACTTGATATCCAATTTGGTTATCAGTAGATGTTTTTTTCTCCGATAAATTTTTTCTAATCAGTACAAAATTATACCCAAATACAACATATCATTTATTTATATTAAAATATTTATAAAATTGTCATTCTACTTTAACAATAATAATTATATTAATCTAATCCTTTTCCCGCCAGAACTTCAACCAGAAACGACTACAACGACTTCGACCACCAGCGCCTCTATGGACAAGAAGCAGTTCATCCAGCAGCAGCCCGACATCGGACACCGGGAGCCTTCTTACGAGTATCCTGTGAATAGTTGCGCTTATTCCATGACCAGAACCATTAGTAGCGACTGCAACCAGCACCATCATTACGATGTTCCTCATTTAACGGACAGGTAAAGATTAAAGATAGTAAATGGTAAACGATAATACTAGGTAGAAGCATCAATTTTTAATTAAGATTAATGGGCCGATTTTGCCGCACAACAACCAATGTTATGGCAAGGCCCTGCATCGCTCCGACTTCCATACATTATGGTACTGAATCATACTGAATACTGTCAAAATGTTATGTATTTGCTGTGCATTCAGGCGTTTTACGCATAAACGGCAACGTCACTCGTATATTATGAAGCTGGGTCAGAAAGGCCATGTTATATAAGATAATTTTTTTGATATTTGTGCGGTTTCTAGGTTAGGTTTTCTATCTGACAATTTGGGAAAAACGTCGGTCTGCATAGCAACCACGTGGCTTTTGTCAATATTCAGAACAAATTTGCCATAACATTGGTCTGTTATGCGGCAGAATCGGTCCATGAATTAGAGATCTATAACCTTCTTAAGTGGAATTACGATAGCACACTGCTTGATATCGAGCTAGCTGCGGTATTCGATAGCCCAAATTCTTGATCATTATACTATGACGGGTTCATATGCTTTTTTTAAGCGAATGTATATATGTGACGGCTACTCCTAAAGTCATTGAAAATCAACTACCTTGAACACTCTTCTGACACCATTTTAAATTGACCAATAAGTTAAAGCTAGTCCTGAGAAAACCACGTATTTTGATAAGAGCCAAGTTATTGTATCTTAGTGAAAATATTAGGGCAATTCTGCTGTAACAGAGCTCATAACATAGCGTTGTCATGGCAACGCTATCTTATGCTTGTTTCTTGGTAGTGAAAACTGTGAAAATGTCTATCTATTTCCTATGTGATCAGGCATTTTTTACATATAAACAAACAAAAAAGAATCTTATGATGACTGCATCATCAAAGATTCTATTTACTTCATAGCTGTGATTTTGAAGGTCATTGAAGGTCAACGTGCTTAATCACTCATTAAAAATGCTTTTGGATTAATTATTTCATTAATTAGAATTTATAACATATTTTTTTCTATTGTTCTAGCTACGCAATGCCAGTGGATAACATAATGACAGGAAACTGCACGGAGACGTCCATGGAAACTACTTCGAATTCTTGTAAGTATAAATATTTATATAATCGATCAACTTAAAATTCAAATTTAAATCATTTACTTCAAACTTGCAATCGTTCAGTTTCAGCATATTTTTTCGAACTTTTAAAACGCTACATTTAAAACAAGCAAGGGTGAATGTTATGATAACAGTATCTTGGATGATGCAGTTATCATACATAAGATTCTTACTTGCTTGTTTATATGTAAAATATACCTGATCGCACAGCAAATAGATAGACATTTTTATAATTTTCACTACCAAGAAACAAGCATAACATAGCGTTGCCATGACAACAATATGTTATGAGCTTTGTTACGGCAGAATTGCTTCATTAATCTTATTTTATTTGCTGGGTAATTATAAAAATATTAATCAATATATTTTTTTCAGCCAATTCGACATATGACATGACTGTAGGGGGTTCCCAGCACCAGGTTTCCACAATGAAGCGGACTGCGCTGACATCTAGCGGTGGCAGAGTGCGACTGGACGCCGCCATGATTGTCCTGAATGTGCCTGAATACGTCGTCGCCAGGGGGAAGACTCAGGAAATCTATATATCTGTGCTGAATGAGGACAATGAGAGGATTAAGTTGCCTGAAGGTAAATAGATAAATGATAATTATATACTGGCTGTGATGCGTGGAGCATAGTTGTATTTTAAACTGATTGAGTATTTATGCATTATATATGTTGTGCAACCAGCTTTTAGGCAAAATGCCACTTACACATTTTAATTTCAATATGATGTTAATTATGGAAGCAGAAGATACATGAAAAAAAAAGGGGGGGGGAATAGTGGTAATGGGAAGGATCGACTATGAAGGGTAAGGAAATCATTTTTTGTGGTGGCTCTCACACCATGGACCTGCCTTCGGCCAGACTATCATTTATTATTATTTTTATGGTAATAATTTTTTTTTCAGGTATGACCCAAATAAGTCCAGTCGCCTGTCTGGGTCCTTCAGACGTCCACTTCGCGAAACCAATAGTGCTGGAGCTACCCCACTGCGCAGAGTTCCTTTCCAATTGGCGAGTCTCTGTCTACCACGACTCCAATTCATCCCCTAATTCAGTGCCTCGATGGGAAAAAATTGTTACCCTTGGTGAAGAAACAATAAACACTTTAGTGTACACACACATTGATGAAAACAACGCCTACGTGCTAACAGACTTATGTGGTAAATTTGTTTTAACCGGAGAAAGTAATGAAAATTTGAGGGAGAGTGTTAAGAATGTTGCGTGTGCTGTGAAAAGGATAAGATTGTGTGTCTTTGGGCCTGTTTTAGGGGGGCAGCAGAATGTTGCTGATTATAATATCAGGTTGTATGTTATTGAAGATTTGCCTTCGATGTTTAGTAATTGCCTGGAGGCTGAGACTAAGTTGGGTGGTGTCTTGTTGCATCATTCGAAAACACTTTTATTCCAAGATAATGGTAATAATTTATCTTTGAATTTAAGATGTGCGCCCACCACCGGATGGAGCGCCAAACCTGGTTCGGAACACCAGGAAATACCTTTTAAACACATTTGGAATTCTTGTTCCAACAGTTTGCATTGTAGTTTTTCCTTAGAACAAACAATAGACGTTACAAATACCTTAAAATTCAACATCACCGCTTACCAAAACCATTCGGAGCACACATACGTCACCTTTGATGTCGTCGAGTCCATAACCCGAAATAATTTCGAAGAAAAACAAATGTCAATCACGGAAAATTTATTAGAAACACGTTACGGCGACAGACTTTTAACGGTGATCGAAGAAACCAATGAAAACTACATCCAACCACAAACTCTTACAGTCAACCAATGTGGCAACAACACTTTGTCAACCGACCACCAATTCCCAAGGCTCTCCAGGAGCATCAAGAAAAGTTTATGCCATTGTCTCGATCCGCCGAATCTTAAAGGGAACGACTGGAGGATGCTGGCGCAGAAGTTGTCGGTGGATAGGTATATTAATTATTTTGCAACAAAGGCTTCACCGACTGAACACATTTTGGATTTGTGGGAGTGCGTTAGTAAACATAGCTCGGCTTTGGTAGATTTAGTTTTGATTTTGAAATCGATGGAAAGAGAGGATGCTGTGGAGATAATGGAACAATGTTTGGGGCCTAGTTGGTTATAAAAGAGTAATAAGAAAAAATATTTTTAAATGACTCTCAAATAGTATCTATGTTATGTAAAAAGTGTGGTTATGTTCTGTAACATGTTTAAAAAAAGTGAGGTTATTTTATAACAATAAGTAATTTTGTGATCGTAAACAAGACAAGTTATTCTTTAACGAGTTCCATAGGAATATTAAACTACTTACTAAATATTATACAAGTTAAATGAGACGTTTATAAAAAGTGAGGTTATGTTATTAAGTTAGTTATATAATGTGAGGTTATGCGACTTAATTTTTGTAAAAAAGTGAGGTTATGAAAGGTTGAGTAGATTTAGTAAAATTGATATATTTAAGAAGCCTAAATGTGTGTATGTGATTACATAAAACTTTTATATAAAACTGATGACAATTATTTAATAAGTATTGTAGACGATTAAAAAATTTTAGTTGGATTTTTTAGAAATTTAAAATTAGATTAGTGTGTATATACATTTAACAATATATATAAGTTATAAAAAACTATATATCAAAATCCAAAAAACCAACAAAAGTATTTTACCACCGCCACTGCCAATATAAAATGCCAAATTTTCGACAAGATACAAAACATAAAAAAGAATGCTTTAAAAAAAAACATTCAAAAAATATTTTTTTATTTCAAAATTTCTAAAAAAAAGTATAATATAATTACCATGACACTTGTTAGAAAGTAGCACTATACATTAGTACACTATATAATTAATTTATCGATATTTATAAATAAAAATCTATTATTATAATAGAAATCGATTTTGTGTATATTTTTGTTTGTAAATATACGAGTGTTTGTTTTCCTTTAAGATTGCATTTATTGGTTAAGCCAAAATTATTAATATATAAAATGTAAAATATATAAAAAAGTTTAAAAATTAGTTTAAAATATTTTATAAAAACGGACGAAAATTTATATAGAATTTGTTTGATTTTTGTGACAAGTTTAGACAAATGGATATGGATGTATAATAAATAAATAAAATATCCAGTAAAGCACATGGGTAGTACTAGTATACGTATTATCTACGTAACCTGGAAAAACACTATGGTAACCCGCTGTTTCGTAAAGGTTTTACCGAGTAACCGAGTATGTTTTTTTATGTTACTTTCAAATTTAATAAATTTATCTGCAAAAATAGAAACCATTTTGTTTAAAAACAATAAAGAAACGATTTAACTATTTTTATTTTGGCAGCATTAATAAAACACAAACTGCATTTTGTATGTTAACTCTATAAAACAACGGTAACGTAGCAGCTACGTAACTAATAATATGTGTACGAAATATTAACGTAATCGTTAACACTTATACGTAACAAAGTTACTGCTAGTTTCTTTTGCGCTACGTGCAATATGTTTTTGAATTATAAATATTTTATATGTAGGTAAAATCTATGAAACACGCTTAACGTAGTTGCTACCCAACCATCAAAAACAACATGTCTGCTTCAAAAGCTATTTGCATTTATAAATATATGTAACATAAACGTTTCATTAACGCAACCGTTAGCTTCCTAACAATGTATTCTCCGCGTTACGTAGTTTTAACTTTTGTGCTTTACTAGGTATAAATAATATTATACTGTTTTATGAAACACATTCAATTTTGTTAGGTACATTTTGAAATATGTCTATTATTTTTCAAAATATTTCATTAGATAATAATTTTTTTCAAATTAATATTAATTCCAAAAATTCATTTTATGAGCTTGTACACACATTTGCTTATTATTGTTTTATGTGCTTGTTTAACTTTTAATGATAGTTTTGGAGGTTATGATAACATTTTTAATAATTTAAAGACTGATAGGTAATATTTTTTAGGTTTTACATCTTAAAGATTCATATTATTGTTTGCCTTAGTTTTTTATAGTCATTAAAAAGTTATAAAAATATTTTTGAAGTTGTGTGTATATTTTGAAGTTATGTATATCCAAATTTTTCTAATAGTTTTCCATTCAGTATCCAAATGTCTAAACTGTCAATTGTTGTATTTTGTAAACAAGGTACATTAAATACTTATATTAAGTTACTTGGAATTTGTTTATAATAATGTAAGTATGTATATATGTATATATATATATATATATATATATATATATATATATATATATATATATATATATATATATATTTATTTATACACATGTATACCGGCCTAATTATTAATTATTATTGTGTAAAATATATATAGTATAAAGTCTATATAAAATAATAAATACAATTTATACCAAATAATTTGTCGGGTTATTTATTTTTGAATATAATTGAATTTAAAGAACAAAAACTATAAAAATAATAATACATTTTTCTATAATCTATTTAAAAACATTTTTTATAAAAAAGGTGTATTATTTTACTTTTAACTAGTTTTTATTAACTTTTCGTAGGGTAAGTTATAAAAATCGCAAAAAATCGAAAATGCATTATATATCTTTACGTTTCAAAGGTTTCTGGCATTTTGGCATACCTTAGGAAAAAAATGATAAATATATGTGTGTGCGTATACAATTTTTTGTCGACAATTTTGTGAACACAGATCCTATTTGAATAATTAAAAAAAAAACATTCAATTCGTATTGATAAGGAGATGTGCTGATTAGTTTTTGGCAAAAGTAGGTCCTGCCGTTTTAAAGATAAGTGCCAAAATGGTAGTTCAGTTCTTGAGAGAACAGAGCGTCCGATTTGAATGATTCCAAAAGCATTTTATTTGCATTGAAGGAATGAAGATTTGATTAAATTTTTTAATGGGCGGGTCTGGCGGTTTTGGAGATTTGATCCCAAAAAAAGTTACCAAAAAAATGCCAGTTGGTCAAATATGATCATTAGACATATGCACATCAAATTATCAGATGTTTTATGGAGATTTTAACAATAAGTATAAATTTTGTTTACATTCCTATGGGTTCCGTACCAATGCTTATTCGTTAGACGGCGACGCGGCGCTTACGCGATTTGATATTATGTCTTTAAAACAGCTGCGCAGCGCGATTGCTTTGAAAAAAAATTAAAATTTTCTAGAAATTTCAGAATTTAAAAAAAAAAATAAAATTTTCCAAAAAAGTCAAGTTTCCCCAAAAATTTAGAAATTCTCAAAAATCTAACTATTTCAAAAATGTTTAAAAAGCTTTTTTATAAATTCTTAATTTTCAGTACGAAAACTTCCAGCAATTTTCCTTAAGGCACGATGCCATGCGCCCCACTAGTTGCTTTTAAATATTATACATAATTATAAACATATAATTTATAAAATATCATTATATAAATGCGTATAATGGTCGACATTAATAAATGTGTGCATCACGAGTGTTACCATATTACTAATAAACATTATTCAAAATTGCTTTATGATGTATTTATTTTTACTTAAAGGCCATCTTGTACAGTAGCAAATAAGTTTTACTTCAATCGCATGTGAACCTTACGCGCACTCTTTTTTATATGTATACTATAATTAAATTTTGTGGTATTATATTTAGTATTTTTTCTGTATAATGCAATAAATATTTAAATCTATAGAAAAAAAACTCATAGGTTAATCAGCTTATGCGGCTTCTCTTATATGCGGTCTCTGATGGTAAAAAGGTTCCCCACCTCTGATCTAAGATTTACCAGTAATTTTAAAGGGACACATTACATTGATTTTATTAACGACTTTAATTAATAAGGTAGTGATTATAATATATATTAAGAAAATAAACTGTTTTAAATAAATAAATAAACTACAAAATTTTTACATAAATATTTTTAAATAATAACGATTTCCCGCGATTTCCATCAACAAGTGTTGCCACCTATCGTGATACATAACAAACAGTCCGCCATGACAGTTTTCGTAAACTTCAAAATAAATAAATAAACCGGCTAAGGTTAAGTAGCGTTTTTAGGTTAGCAATCATAATTGTGTTAATTAATTAATTAAAATGAGTACAGCAAAAATAAGTGAAATTAAAAAGCATTTTGTAACAAATAACAAAATTCGTGAATATCCAGCACATCAAGCAAAAGTACATTCTGTAGGCTGGAGCTGCGATGGAAGGAGACTCGCCTCGGGCTCCTTTGACAAATCTGTTTCGATTTTCACATTGGATAAGGATAGATTGGTAATTATTTGTATTAACTAGATGTATACTAGTTTTTAGGCATATTGCAGACAACTTGCAACAATTTGTGTAAGTGGTGTATCTGTGAACAAAATACAAAAATGTGGCTGTCATTTAACCTAAAGTAGCCAATTTTTAGTTGACACAAATGTCTTTTATTATCTTGTGTTTTACTAATATCAAATCTTGCTAACAACTGTAATATCCAAATGATTTAGCTATGATAACGAAGAATTCTTATTCTTGCACATCAACTTGTTTGATTTAGTACAGCGATACCCCACTTAACGCTGCTTTGTTTAGCTCTCTTTTCTTTTAGCCTTTTGATTTACCAAAATGTAGGTGATATCGTAGAGGAAATAATGGAATTTGCAAATCAAACTTGAAAGTTTCAGAAGATTGCACAACTACTATTCTATTATGTGGAAATGCACATATAGATTACAAATCAAAACCAATTTACTACAATAATCCAAGAGCGATGAAAGGCTTTTCGAAATCTTAAGATTTGGGAGCATAATGGAATGACTACAAATATTTTTCATTCAGGATTGTTTTACTGAACTTTTTTGTTCTGATCTGTTATTGTGAAACTAAAAAACTCAAAAAACTCAGAAATAGAACACTACTATTAACTGATAATTGTGATGATCTAGTTGTCATTTACTCTTTTTATATCTTTTTTTCTGAAATATTCATGATCTTGCTTACAACAATATTGTCCAAATGATTTTGCTATTATAATGCAGAATTCTTATTCTTCCACACCAATTTGTTTGATTAAGTACACTGCCAGTATTCTAACCCTACATTCTAGTTGGTGGAAAGTAAGCCAGCCATATCATCCATTTGCTTATAATGGACTCATAGCATTCACTCCGCGAAAGATCCAATCTGTTTATGTGAATGACGAACAAATTGCACAAAAGGATGTCAAAATATTCAGATATTTGTCTGGATCAACAATTAACATGGCAATCACATAACAATTCAACATAAAAAAC